GAGCCCGTGCCCGAAGGACGGATCGCAGTCGCAGCCCAGCTCGCTGAAGAGGCGCACCCGCTTCGCAGCAGCTGCGGCGGGTTCGCGCCGCGGTCGGCGTGGCGGCGACGCTGGCGCGGGCGGTCGGGGTTGACCCGGCCGCACGTGTGGAGCACAGTCCACCCGCATGGTAAGGACGAGCGGCTTGCCAAGGTTACCCCTGCATCCTTCCCCGTCGGCCCATCCTTGGCCGCTTTCGCTTCGCTCGCCGCGCCCCCCTCGAAGCGGCTCGGCATGGCCCTCCAAGGCCCGTGCATCCTTACCGCGCACTCTTCTTCCCCAACCCGCGACCCACCTTCAGGAGGGGAAAAACCACACAGACACAATGAATTGTCGATCCCTAGGAAAATATGGGAGAACATGGGAAGTGGGGGGGAAGACAAAAACCCAGAAAATACATGAAAATATGGGGTATCCTGTTATTCTTCACGCTTCGCGTATCCCCACCAGCCCATCTCAAAACAAAAAGCAAAAACTACAATAAAGCGAGAAAATAGCAAAGCCGCCAAAAGACGTGAGTTTTTCAGGCGAGTGTTTCCGCCTGCCCACCATAAATATAAAAAAGCAGCCATATACTCCCACTGTAATCCACATCCAGTCCAATCAATCAAATCGCCTCCTTTAGTAACAATCGCCACCTATGTGGTGGAAGCAACGAGGAGAAGTAACGAGGAGAAGGAGAGGAAGATGAGAAAGCGCGCTATACTCTCTCGTGTCTTTTGAGTCCAACAAAAGAATATAATCAATAATAAAAATCGGGCTATCTCGTACCATAAAATAAATAAAAAAAAAAGAGAAAAATAATAATAAACCCATGTAGCCCGTTTCGGAAATTAAAATAAAGACCCTATACCCTCCCTGGTGTGAGTCGTTCGGGCCCTTCTTCCTGGTGGGAGTCGTTCGGGCTCTTCGTGGTGTGAGTCGTTCGGGCTCTTCGTCCTGGTGTGCGTCGTTCGGGCTTCTCGTGGTGTGAGTTGTTCGGGCCCCTCGTCCTGGTGTGAGTCGTTCGGGCCCCTCCTCCTGCCCGTCCAGAAACGACGCCCAGGCGAGTAGAGGGTCTTCCTGATGGGCTTTTCGGCGTCTTGGGTGCCTCGGGGGGGCCTCTTTGGGCCGTTTGGGATCCTCTTGGGGGCCTCCTGGGGGCCTCTTGGGGCCATCTTGGGGCCTCTTGGTGCCTCCTGGGCGCTTCTTGGGGCCATCTTGGAGGAAATCGATCAAAGAAGAGGGGAGCTTTAATTAGCGCTGCCCCCTAAGAAGGCCAAGCTGGGGCCAAAACCTCAGTAAAATCAATGATTTTGGCTTGAAAGAAGAGGGGAGCTTTAATTAGCGCTGCCCCCTCAGAAGGCCAACATGGGGCCAAAACCGTAGTAAAATCAATGATTCTGGCTTCGAAGAAGAGGGGAACACTTTTCTTCCCCCCCCCGTCGGGGCCAGAATCCTCGTGAGGGGTGTCGTTTTTTAGCCCTCCCAGGAGTCGAAAAAGACCCCGCTGGCGACCCGCGGAGGGACCTCTCCAGGCCCAGGGGTAGGGGGTAGGGGGAGGGGTAAACCCTTCCCCGAAGGGGAAGAAGGGGGTTGAGAACAGAGAGAGCTCGCTAAACCACTCACGCCCAAAGGGCTGGTGGGCTAATTTGTTTTCCTTTGGTTTTTGATCGATTTTCGAGTTCTCGCCTTTTGAGTTTCCTGACGCCCCACGACGGCCCAAGAGGCTTCAATTTCCGCTCCGAGGCATCCCCAGAGGCTTCGAAGACGGTCTCAAGACAGCCCACGGGGGTCCCAAGACGGCGCCAGAGGCGTCCACGGCGGAGCGAGAGGGCCCCAACACGGCCCCAAGATGGAGGGTTGACACGACCCGAAAATCCGAGTTTTCCATCCCGAGAGGCTCTCAGGAGGCCCCGAGAAGCCCTAACAGGCTCCAAGAGGCCCCAAGAAGCCCCCCCAGGGGGCCGAAGCGTATCCAAGAGGCCTCCCACGAAGGCCCAAAGAGGCACAAATCCATGTCTTGCCGTAGGTGTTTGATTGATGTTAGAGTTTTCAGCCTTTTGGCGTCCTGACGCTCCAAGACGGCCCAAAAAGCCTCCAAGACCAATCCAAGATAGCCCACGAGGCCTCCAACAGGGCCCAAGACAGCCCAAGAGGGCACCAATACGGCCCCAAGGGGGGCCCAAGAGGGGTAAGGCGAACCGAAAATCCGAGCCTTCCACCCCCAGAGGCTCTCAGGAAGCCCCAGAGGCCCCCAAATGGGACCCAAGAGGCCCTCAAGAAGCTCCCCAGAAGGCCGAAGAGGTTCCAAGAAGCAATGTTTTCCCATCGGTTTTTGATGGATTTTAAAGTTCCCAGCCTTTTGGCTTCCCGACGCTCCAAGACGGCCCAAGAGGCCCCCAAGACCGCAGAGGCCTCCAAGAGGGCCCCAAGACGGCCCACGAGGGCCCCAAGACGGTGCCCGAGGCGCCCAAGACGGCCCGAGAGGGCCCCAAGAGGGCCCCAAGAGAGCCCCAAGAAGGTGAACGCGAACCCAACAGCAGAGCCTTTCGCCCTAAGAGGCCCACAGGAGGCCCCAAGAGTCCTCAAGTGGTTCGACGAGGCCCACCAAAGCCCCCCACCAGGCCACAAAAGGCTCACAGGAGACGTACACGGGGCCAATCAAAATTGCTTCAAGGAGGCCCCGGGAGGCTTCCGGATTGCCCCAATGTGGCCTCAAGCCGGGCCTCTACGCAGCCAAGACGGCCAATTGTCTGCTTCAGGCTGCAGAACATCACTTTCCGACTGCCCGGAGAACCTTGACGATGCCCCCAAGGGACCCCAAGAAGCCCCAAGATGCCCCCCGAGAAGCACCCAAGATGTGCCTGCAACAGCCAATTGAGGAAGCATGGAGAGCCCCCCAGAAGCCCTTCAGATGCCCCCACGAAGACCCAAGAGGTTTCCAAGAGGCCCTCGGGAGGCACGACTATGTCACGCCCCTGTGCTGAATAGCGCTGTCCAAGATCTTCAAGCGCGCCCCTGGCCTGGGCTAGAACCTGAGCAGGGGGGGGGGGGGGGGGGCGCGCGAAGTGCGCGCGATGGTTCTAGTATATATATATATATATATATATATATGTATAGATTCGTATCTAATTTTCCGTACGAGAGCGCTGTAGCACACATCTGATTCAGGGAGGAATTTTAGATACCATGCGGTCCTTCCGAATGCAGCTGCCGCTGGGGAAATGAGCAACCAACATAGATTTTTATATGTGTCTTCCAGGGAGGAGGAGAAGGAGGAGGAGGAGGAGGAGGAGGAGGAGGAGGAGGAGGAGGAGGAGCAGGCGGACGAGAAAAGAGGGCGCGCGGAAAAGGGGAAGAGCGGGTAGAGCAAGGCGGGGCACGCTGGGGAAACAACGGGCAAGGGCGGAAGGGAGGACGGGGGAGGAGCAAGAAAAGCTGGAGGACGAGAAGGAGGAGGCTGAGAAGGAGGAGGAGGAGGAGGAGGAGGAGGAGGAGGAGGAGGAGGAGGAGGAGGAGAAGGAGGAGGAGGAGGAGGAGGAGGAGCAGGAAAAGGGGCCTCCAGAGGCCCCCAAGCGGCATCGCGACATGCACCCACTCAATTGTGACGTTGGCTCGTCCTGCATTTCTGATGGCCCTCGGGGGCCAGGGCGCAGTCCTCCATGGGGGATGGAGGCGTTCAGGGGAGTTCCAGGACAGCTCCTGGGACTGCCAGTCAAAGCGCTTTTTATGACCCGATTCACGCAGTCCCGCCTTGCCCGATTGCCCACCGCGCTGCTTGCCAGCCGGGAGTTCCAGGACGGCCTTTGCTAAGGGGGTGTCCAAATTCCATGTGCTTGAGCGTGCGCGAAGCGCGCTCTCGGGCTCCAGGAGCCCCCCCCCTGCGATAGAACCTAAGCGCGCGCGATACGCCACCGATGCCCGGTGCCCGGTGCCTGCCTGGTCCGCCGGTCCGCTGGTCCGCTGGTCCGCCCGTCCGCCGGGTCCCCGGTCCGCCGGTCCGCCTGTCCGCTGGTTCCCCGGTCCGCTGGTCCGCCAGTCCGCCGGCCCTCGCCGGTCCGCCGGCCTGCTGGTCCGCCGGTCCGCTGGTCCGCCGGTCCGCCGTTCCGCTGGTCCGCCGGTCCCCTGCCCCCGGTCCCCAGCGGTCCGCCGGTACGCCGGTCCGCCAGTCCGCGCCGATCCGCAGTCCCCAGTCCCCGGCCCCGGGTCCCCGGTCCCCGGTCCCCGCGGTACCGGGTCCCCAGTCCCCGCGGTCCCGGTCCGCCGGTCCGCCGATCCGCCGGTCCGCCGGTCCGCAGGTCCGCGGGTCCTCGCGCCGGTCCCCAGTCCCCGGTCCCGGGTCCCCTGTCCCTGGGCCGGTCCGGTCCGGTCCCCGGTCCAGTGCGGTCCGGTCCTTGGTCCCCAGTCCCCAGTCCCCTGTCCAGTCCCCGGTTCGGTCCGGTCCGGTCCCCGGTCCCCAGTCCGCTCGTTTCTGGTCCCCGGTCCGCGGGTCCGCTTGTCCCGGGTCCCCGGTCCCCGGTCCCCGAACCCCAGCCCCCGACGCCGGACCCCCGGCCCTTGGTGGCCTGGCCCTGGTAAAATTCCACCATCCCCGATGGGCCCCATCGCCGTGGTTGCATCTGCATCGGTTGGGCTTCGCAGGTATGCGTGGAGGTAGGCCTCGTGCTCCAACTGCTCGCATTATCCTCAGCTCGCTGGTTTGCGGGCAGTTTGCTCGATCATGGATTGGTCTGGTCGAAGTATACCATGCCGTACGTTAGGTCGGCGCTCCTCCTTCTCCTCCTCCTCCTCCTCCTCCTGCTGGTGCTGCTGCTGCTGCTCCTCCTCCTCCTCCTCCTCTCTTCGCGTCGCGCCAACGGAGGTGGCGCGAGGGGCCAGGCTTCTGGATCCGACAGCAGCGCGGTCCTCCCTGCGTGCGCGAGCGCGTGCGCTGTCGGGCTCGTCGGTGTCGTCGTGGGGTGCGTCCGCCAGCACAGGAGAGCGCAAGTTCAGGGTCCAGTTCGTCGGCTCCAAGGGCGGGGCGCTCGGCGGTCCCCTGGGGCTGAGTGGCCGCGCCGATCGTGGGGGCAGGGGGAGAAGGAGCGGAGGAGGAGGAGGAGGAGGAGGAGGAGGAGGAGGAGGAAGAGGAGGAGGAGGAGGATGAGGAGGAGAGGAGGTGAGAGTAGAACCGAGGAGGAGGAGGAGGAGGAGGAGGAGGAGGAGGAGGAGGAGGAGGCATTACTTGGGATTGCTGTCGGCGGTGGTTTCGCTGGAGCGCTGCCGGGGCGCACAGGCGGATCTCGAGCGTTCGGCCCGCATCCCGTCGAGAGGAGAAAGGAGCGGGAGCCAGGTGGGCCAGGTCGAGCGGGCCAGCGGGCCCCGCCCAGCCCCCGAGCATCAGTGGTGGCACAAGCTGGTGACACTGGGGCTCGGGACGCGCTCCCGCCCAACGAGCGGGAGGCGTGCGCGCGCGGCCCCGCCCGCCGACGCCCTCGGGGGAGGGCGGGGCAGAGCTCGGGCCGCGCACGGGCGGCGGCGGAAGCTCGCGGGCGGTGCTCTCCGCGGCGCTGCGGCGAGAGCACCAGGTTTCAATCGGGCGCGTCCCTCTGCGGGGGGAATCTTCAGAAATACCAGAAAATTGTCGGGGGATAATCATCTTTTTGTATAGTATTCTTAATTTTCCGTCCAGAATCCGTCTGTAGGAGGACATGCCCGACCTAACACCAGGTGATCGTTGTCTTGTTCCTTGTCTTGCCGATCGGCGCGTGCCCTCGCATACCCCCTCACCCCCCAGGGTTTTATTGTCTCGCTGATCGTGTGCATGCTTGCGTGTAGTCCATACGTGCAGGTTTCCGGAGGCCATGGCCTCCCCCACCAGGTCATGAGTACGTAGGCCCGGACAGCAGTCCACAGTGGTGGTTTGTTCGTTTGTTCGCTCCCTCCCCCCCCCTGTGGAGTAGGTCTGAGATGTTCTTGGCGCCTGTCTGAAGCAGCTGGCGTCTCCCCCATGGGACGCACTGAAGCAAACAGTCGCGCTGAGCAGAGGTCCAGAGCCAGACCCTCCCCCCTCCTCTCCCCTCCGCCCCATGTCGAAGCGCACCATTTAGCCTTCCCCAGGGCGACCGGATTTCCGATGAGCGCGGCGAAGACGAAGTATGCGTCGACTACACGCAAGTTTGACCGTTCGCTGGAGTGACCTTTGGTGCGGGCCTACTGGGGTCCCCCGATCGCCGAGCGCGCTGCGATAGTAGCGTCTTGCGCGCTCGTGTTTCGTCGTCGTCGTCCTCCTCCTCCTCCTCCTCCTCCTGGTCCTCCTCCTCCTCGTCCTCCTCCTCCTCCTCCTCCTCCTCCTCCTCCTCCCCGCTTCGAGGTGGAAGCTGCGCACGGAGCCCGGGCGAGGGCGACGAGCCGCCTGCTTTCGCACGCGGCCCCGCCCTCGACGACGTGGCGAGGGAACCGAAAGGCTACTCGCCGAGACGAAGTCTGGGCGGCGCCAAGGCGAAGTCTGCGCGGCGCCACCTTTGGGTGAAGTCTGCGCGGCGCCAAGGCGAGACCGACGATTCGGTTCGCCCGAGCGTCGGCGAGCTGGCGACCGAAACGTGCGCACCGCTCCCAAGCGGGAGTCGGGCGCGGCTCCGAGGTGGACGCGGCAGTTCGCCTCTGCGCGGGGTGTGCGCTCTGTCCCGTCCCTGCCTCTGCAGCGTCGACGCCAAAACGTTCATGTTGAGAGGGAGGGCGTCGATAGTGTATAGCCTTTTTCAAGCAGGTTGTAAAGTCCTGGATTGTGGGGCTATCGGTAGACCCAGTCAGGTGGCAGAGTAGGAGCCTATGCCAACAGCAAGGGCAAATACGGTGCAGATGACGAGCGCGGGCACGTATGTGACGGGGGGGGGGGGGGGAGGACGGGGATGGAGGAGGACGGCGGGGGGCCAGGAGGAGCACGGCAACGATATGGCAACGTCATTGCACCTCGCGTGCAGCAGGGGGGCGGCCAGAGCGGTCTCTCGAGCTGGGTCGCCGCCAGGGGCCAGCAGGCCCTCAACCGAGAGACCAGGCGTAAGTCGAGCATGTCCCTCTACAGGAGGAACCTTCACAACACGGCAAACCAATAGTCAGGGGACGACTTTTTGCTTATTTGTGGCTATTCTAGAATATTCTTGACATTTTTTTATTTGTCTTCCAAAACTCCCCCGGAGGGGGACACGCCCGACCTGAGCCCAGGCATCGAGGGAGAGCTCCCTCGCAGGTCCTCCGCGCCGGCCGCGCCCTCTCCCTGCGCTCCAGGAAGCGCGGGCCCCGAGCGACGGCCGGCCGCAGCGCCGGATCGGGGAAGCCAGAGACAGGGTTTTTGAGTCGGGCCTGTCCCTCTACAGGAGGAGCATGCAAGAATTCAAGGGCAGAACAAACGCCCCTACCCTAGTTTACGAGGCGCTGTGCGCTGAAACTCCTGTGGGCTGGCAGGGTAAACCCTGCGTGATGTGCCGCGTCCTGGCGGCTCTATGCTTTGGGGGTTCCCAGGAGGTTTACAGACCGCGCACTTGTAACCCAGGGTAGGGTCGTTTTTCCATCCCTCAAAGAATAGTCCAAGCATAGTCTGGGGACTAATTTTCTAGTATTTCTCCCAACACTCCTGTGGTATCGGGTCCTCGTTCTGAAGAGGCTGCGCCCCGAGTTCCCACTCCTCCCCTTCTCCCTCCTCCTCCCCCTCCTCCCTCTTCCCATCCGCCTCGTCAACGTCATTGTCATCGTCAGCGTCATCATCGTCATCATCATCGCCATCGTCATGATCCACATCATCATGAGCATCGCCATCGCCATCGTCAGCGCCGCGCCCCTCACACGGTGCGTGGCCCCACAGGGAGCTCCACCGAAAGCCCCAGTGGCAGGGTCCGCGTGCGGGGACCGCCACCCGTTTTGGTACACCCCTCACACGGTTCGTGGCCTTGTAAGGAGCTCCACCGAAGGCCCCCGTGGCAGGGTCCACATGGCGGCGCCGCCCCATCTTGGCGCACGCTTCATACGGTTCGTAGTCCCATAGAGAGCTCAACCGAAGGCCCCAGTAGCAGGGTCCACATGGCGGCGCCGCCACATTTCCGCGCACCCCTTACACGGTTCGCGGCCCCATATGGAGCTCCACCGAAGGCCCCAGTGGCAGGGTTCGCATGGCGGCGCCGCCCCCATTTTGGAGCACCCCTCACACGGTTCGTGGCCCCATAGGGAGCTCCACCGAAGGCCCCAGTGGCAGGGTCCGCATGGCGGCGCCGCCTCATTTTGGCGCACGCTTCATACGGTTCGTGGCCTCATAGGGAGCTCCACAAAAGGCCCCAGTAGCAGGGTCGGTTCGCGGCCCCATAGGGAGCCCCACCGACAGCCCCAGTGGCAGGGTCCACATGGCGGTGCCGCCCCATTTTGGAGCACCCCTCACACAATTCGTGGACCCATAGGGAGCTCCACCAGAGGCCCCAGTGGCAGGGTCCACATGGCGGCGCCGCCCCATGTTGGCGCACCCCTCACACGGTTCGTGGCCTCTAGGGAGCTCACCGAAGGCCCTGGTGCAGGTCCGCATCGGGCGCGCACCGATTTTGGCACACCTCTCTAATCGGTTTCGTGGCCCATAGGGAGCTCCACCCGAGGCCCCAGTGGCAGGGTCCGCATGGCGGCGCCGCACCGATTTTGGCGCACCCCTCACGCGTTCGTGGCCCCATAGGGAGTTTCCACCGAAGGCCCCGAGTGGCAGGGTCCGCATGGCGGCGCCGCACCGATTTTGGGGCGGGGTCCGCATGGCGGCGCCGTCCCATGTTGGCGCACCGCTCGCAGGGTTCGTGGCCCCATAGGGAGTCTACCGACGGCCCCAGTGGCAGGGTCCACATGGCGGCGCCGCCCCCATTTTGGCGCACCCCTCACACGGTTCGTGGCATCATAGAGGGCTCCATCGAAGGCCCCAGTGGCAGGGTACGCATGGCGGCGCCGCACCGATTTTGGCAAACCCCTCGCACGTTTCGTGGCCCCATAGGGAGCTCCACCGAAGGCCCCAGTGGCAGGGTCCGCATGGGGGCGCCGTTCCGATTTCGGCACCTCTCGCGCAGATCGAACCCTGGAGGGGGCGTCGCATATGGCTTCTGTGGACGGAGGCTCCCAGAGATCTCCAGGCAGTTCGGATCAGGATGAGGGAGGTGATGAGGACCAGGAGGACCAACAAATACCAGCAGACCCTCCTTGGGCTATCCTAAGCAATACGGGACCCGCGGCGTCTTCTTCCCATGGACCACCTGGGGGTGCATTGGAACCCATATTGGGGTATCGTGGGCTTCGCCGAGGCCGTTTGCTCCCTGGGACCGTTCGCGCTGTACATCGCGCCACATCTGCTTCTAAGGACGCATGCGGGACCCGCGGCATCCTGCTCTCCAGGGCCAATTTCGGGGCATGCTTGGGCTGAGGCCAAATCAAGAAAACAAACGTGCAACACGCAACGGAAACACAGAGAGAGAGAGAGAGAGAGAGAGGAGAATACTCTGGGAAGAAAATGAAAACAGAACGGCCGGGCACGGGGCTTGGGCCACTGTGGGCCCCCCTCCTCCGTATCATATCCTTCGCGGTATTCGCGGCTTCATTTGGTTGGGTCGCTCGTCAGGCTAGTTCCCCAATCAGAGCTTGCCTCTGTAGGGTCCTAGCGGATTAATTTGGTTAGGTTAGGTTTGCCGCCGATTTTCGCCGCACGCCCGGGTGCCCGGGGGTGCCCGGGTGCCCCGGTGCCCGGGGGTGCCAGGGTGCCCGGGTGCCCGGGTGCCCTGGTGCCTGGGCGTGCCCTGGGGTGCCCGGGTGCCCAGGGGTGCCCAATAGCCCTATAGCCCTATAGCCATTGCAATAGCCCTGTAGCCCTATAGCCATACAGCTCTATAGCTCTATAGCCCTATAGCCCTGTAGCTCAATAGCCCTATAGCCCTATAGCCGTACAGTCCTGTAGCTCTATAACCCGATACCCCTATACCCTATAGCCCTATAGCCCTATAGCCCTGTAGCTCTATATTACCCTATA